GCCCACCACCCCCACTCCTTGAGGCTTGGGCGCAGTGGTGGAGCCCACAGTGGTGGGCTTGGGCGCAGTGGTGGTCACCCCCCCCACCCACAAAGGGACCTTTGGGTGCAAAACCCAGCTCGGCACTGGGGACCCACCTTGCACAGCTCTTCAGGCACCTGCTAGTCCCATGACGGTTGCTGGAAGCTTCTGGAGAGCAGATGTCCCCGGGCCTCCAGCTCAGCCTTTCCTGCCCAGAGTGCCCACACCCCTTGGCCTCTGGCCCCTTCCTCCTTCTCCGAGGCCACCGGGGGCAGAGGGCGGCCGTGTCTCTCTCTGCCTCACGACCCCATGTCCCCATGAAGGACCCTGGTGATGACCCCGTCCCCTCCCCGCCATGCGGGACCAGGGCGTCCTGGCTGGAAGTGGCCGAGCCCCACAGAGCAGGACCAGGGCGTGTTCTGTCACCTCCACACGTGTCACTTCCCTGACCCCTGACCCCCACAGCCGGCTGTCCCCATCAGTAGTGCCCAGCAGCTGAGCTGTGTCCTCACTGCTTCCGCCGTCTCTCCTGCCTCTGGCTGCGCTGACCCTCCTAGTGTTTCTTTGTCCGTCCCTCCCTGGCCGGCCTCACGGCCCCCTGCCCGCTGGGTCATCCCACTGACCCACACGACTTTTCTTCCTTTTTTGGCTCTGACTGCACGGCCAGAAAAGGGAGCGCATTGTTCGCGCCTGCACCCGCAGGAAGTGGCTGCCTGGGGGCGCCCCACCCCCACGCTTGGGGTTCTGACGAGGGTGCGGGGAGCCCCGGGCCCTGGCTGACAGAGGAGGCCTGTGTGCCGCTGCCCCTCTGCACCCCGAGCCTGGGCGCCGGCCCCTGTGGGTCTGGGAGGCGGCGACCAACCACCTGGGCTGACAACTGCTGCCCGAACCTCCTGCAGGCGCGGAGCGAGGGGGGAGGGTGTGTGTGTGTGTGTGTGTGTGTGTGTGTGCGCCTGTGTGTGTGCGCCTGTGTTTGTATATGTGTGTGCACGCATGTGTGTATGTGTGTATATATGTGCATGTGTGTATGTGTTTTTGTGTGTACATGTGTATGTGTTCGTGTGCGCGCGAATGTGTGTATATATGTGCGTGTGTGTGTGCATGTGTGTGTATGTGTGTGTGCACTTGCGTGTTGGGGGAGTTTCACGGGGAGCACCTGAGTGGGAAGCGGCTGGACGCAGCCTCTGAGAAGGGAGTGCAGTGGTCAGGGCAGGTGACCCCTGCCCCGCAGGGCCGAGCAGCACCCCCGTCTCCCCGTGGGTGTGTGTCCGAGCATGCGGGTTGTTTGTCTGTTCACTAGACCGGCGTGAACAGAGCGAGAGCGCTATGACCCGAAGCCCGGCCAGCCGTTCCTGCCAGCGGGCGGGCGGGGGCAGCAGGGGTCAGGGACATCGCTCCTGAGATGTGAGTCCCGAAGATCTGCTGTCGTGCCGGGTCACTGGGGAGATGGACAGGGGGCCACGGCGACACCCGTGAGGGGCTGAGGGAGGCAGGGCCCCGTGGTGGGGGGCTGTGGGGGCGCAGGACCGGCCAGAGTTGCCCTCTGACCCGCACCCCACTCATTCCTTCATGCGCCCAGAGACCGAGCGCCAGGCGTGCATGTGTCCCCCGGCTGGTGAGGGGTCTGTCCCCATGGCCGCAGGGACACCGGCAGGACAGACCGTGGCCTGGGGCCCGACGCTGAGGAGAGGCTGAGGCTCGATGGGGTGTGACTGCTGATGTCTCCAGGTGTCCTTGGGGGCTGGCAGAATGTTCTCGAATTAGGCAAGTTCATCTTGAGAACGTCCTGAAAGCCAGTGAATCGTACAGTGGAAACGGGGTTCCAGGCTGTAAATGATTCGTTCACGTGGGAAGAACAGACGGGAACAGGCCAGGGGTCTGGACCCTGGGGGGGGGTGGCAGGAAGCTCAGAGCAGGAGCATCCCTGAGCCCGGGCGGGGATCAGTTTCCCCAGCCAGGGGCCTTTCTAGGTGGCCTCTGGTTTATCCTTGGCCCCTTCTGTGGCTAGTGCTAGCTCAGCAGTCTGGGCCCTTCCTTCCACACAGCCCTGCCCCCAGCCTGTGTCTGCAGGGCGCTGGCCTCCTGCCCCCCACCTGCAGTGCCCCCTGGAGCCGGTACCCTGACTCGCCCAAGACTCTGGAAGTGGGGATCCCACCTCGGGTATTGGGGGGGCAGAGAGGAGTAATCGGACCCCACTGTCTACTGTGGGTGAGTTTGGGGGCTGTGAAGAACAAAGTCGCCCCTAGAAGTGTGGGCTGGAGAGGGGCCTCAGGGCAGGTGCCCTGGGAGCCCGGGCTGCCCCTGACCTGGCCCCGGGGCGGGGACTGTGTCTCTCTGGCTTCCTTTTAAGGAAGTAAAAGTCACCCGCCGCCTTCTGTCGCCTCCTGCCCCACCCCCTCCCCCAACCAGGAAGAACGGTGTCAAAGGGCATGTCTGGCCCACCGCTGTGGCAGCAATGGGCTGGCCAGGGCTGTGGGGCACCGCTCCCCCTCCTCCGCATGCTCCCCAAGTGTCTAAGAAGTATTTTTGTGTGTGTGTTTTGGGGCCACACCCGGCAGTGCTCAGGGTCGCTCCTGGTGGGCTCAGGAGGCCACATGGGGGCCTGGGGTCAGACCCACAGGTTGGCCACATGCAAGGCCAGCGCCCTCCCCGCTGGCGGTCTCTCCGGCCCCAGTTTCTAAGAGTTTGTGAGTGGGACACAAGGGTGGTTGGTTGTTTCCATCAAGAGTCGCTCTGAGAAGGTGCCCCGCAGGGAGGGGCTCTGGGTGGACCCCTGCCGGCTGGTGGTCCCGCCCTCCCACTGTCCCGCCCAGGTCAGTGAGGGGAGTAGGCAGTAGCGTCCTTCCCCGTCGGTCTGCTGACCCCTCCCGGAGGCCCATGGCTCCGTGCCGGACGCTGGGGGACACTGGGGCCCCAAGAACGGGGCAGGTGTGGGAGGAGCTAGATTATCTGCTCCATAGCCCCGAGGACATGCACCCGAAATGGGGGTGCTCAGGGGTGAGACCTGTGTTATGACCCATGCCCTCGCCCTCACCCTGAGGGTCTGCTCTGAGCCCAGGAGTGTCCGCTGCCTGCAGGCGACCTTCTCTGTCAGGAGGGGTGGCCACCTCCCACACAGACCCCGGGTCAGGCTCACCAGGAGTGCGTGCAGGTGGGCCTGGTCGGAGGCAGGTCCCCGAGAGACGGGGGCTCAGTGCCCTCTGCAGTTTGGGGACAGTGTCCCTGCCACCCTGGGACTTGCTTTTCTAAGCCCCCCACTCCCCCACCGGCTGGTGCCCAGCCCCTGAGAACCCTCCTTTGAGGACTGGCCTCCAGCTCAGGCGGGTCCCGGAAGCCACCGACAGGCGCCCTGCCCGGCGCTGGTCACGGTGCTGGCCAGAGGTCCTGAGTGCCCCAGCCCTAGGGCTTGGGGGCTGCTGGTGCATATCCTGGTGCTGGAGGGGGCGTGTGGTTTCACTGGGGGCAGCCCAGGAAGCAGCTGGGAAGGGTCAGGGCCAGAGATAAAGGGGGCCAGTCTGAGGAACGCTGTGGGAGAGCTGGGGAGACGGGCAGCTGTCCAGGGAGCACTGGGGGGCCCAGGAGCCCCCAACTGTGTGCCCTAAGGGACCAGCAGTCCCCTCTAGGCACAGGGAGGGGTGGGGGCCCCAGGCAGGCTGCCTGGCGTGGTTGCCATGGGGACAGACCACTGTCCTTTCCAGGGCAACCTTGGTGTCAGGGGTCAAAGACAGCAGCTGGGTGGCGACCCCTGGCCCTTAGCCCCCCCCAAGTTGAGGCTGTGATTTAATTGAAGTCTGGGGTGGGGGCTGCTCCTTCCTGTCCAGCTTCCCCCGACCCCACCTGGAACGCCGTCCTGTCCTCACCCCGGTCAGCTTCTGTGTCAATTTTTTGGTTTTGTTTTGGAGTCACACCTGGTGGTGCTCCGAGCTTCCTCTTGCTCTGAGCTCAGGCGTCACTCGTGGGGTCCCCGGGGACCATGCAGGGTGCGGGGGACCGATCCCATGCAAGCCGATGCCCTCCCCGCTGTACTGTCCTACTTCTTGGTGACTTTATGTCCTCCCTGAACCTGCCCACGTTCCTGGGAGTGGTTCTTGCTGGCTGGGCCAGGCCTGTGCCGTCCTTGGGTGGGCAGTGAGGCGGGGGTCCAGGGGACACCCAGCTGGTCAAGAAGCCTGTGCTGCGGTGGGGTCAGGGTTTGCCCTTGCACAGTGCTAAGAGCTGCCCGCGCGCCCCCCCCCCCCCCCCCCCCCCCCCGCTGGAGCCCTAGAATCATCCGGAAGGAAACGGAAGGAAACGGCTTTTCCTAGCCTGATGGTCCAGGACTACTATCAATGGCACGGGGGTGGGGGGGGGGGGAGATGCGGGCTTTGGGCTGGACAGTGGTGGGACCCGCGGCAGGTGGTGAGCTAAGAACCCGGAAGTGTGTGCTGAGCCCGTGGGAAGGGTGACTTGGGATCCCTGCCTCGAGAGGGAACAGAGGGGATGGGGCACAGCCCTGGTATGTGGATGCCCCCAGCCCCAATCCTGGGGGTAGCCCTGGGGCACTCAACACTGCCCAGCACCAGGCACCACCTACCCGCGGTGCCATCTCTCTTGCCGGGATTTTGCTTAGCGGTCCTTTGGGGTCTGGCGTCTTGGGATCCCGCCCCCCGCCCAGTGTCACTGGCTCTACACCATGGTGGGCCAGGGGTGACTTCCTCTGCGCCCCACCGTGTGGTAGCCAGGCTGAGGAGAGGGGAATCTGCTTCCTAAAGACCCCGGGGCTGGGGCCACGGCACCGGGGGAGGCACATCCCTTACACCGGGGCTTGGGCTCGCTCCCCGCGCCCGTGGGGTCCCCCGGCACCCGGAGGAAGCCCAGCCCCTGAAACAAGGCGCACAAAAGACAGAGCCAGGCTTGAGTCCTGGCCGAGGAGGGGGCGGGTGCCGTGGGACCCCGCCCGCTCCCTGCGTCTCACGGGGGTCTCACGGCCCCCTCCGCAGACGACATCCGGCTCTTCGCCTTCGTGCGCTTCACCACGGGGGATGCCATGAGCAAGCGGTCCAAGTTCGCGCTCATCACCTGGATCGGCGAGGGCGTCAGCGGGCTGCAGCGCGCCAAGACGGGCACCGACAAGAGCCTGGTCAAGGAGGTGGTGCAGGTAGGCAGCGCCCGCGTGCCCGCCCCGCCCCGTGTCCGCCCGCCGGGCAGTGTCCGTCCCCGCCCCGTGTCCGCCCGCCGGGCAGTGTCCACCCCCGCCCCGTGTCCACCCGCCGGGATGTGTCCACCCCTGCCCCGTGTCCACCTGCCGGGCTGTGTCCACCCCCGCCCCGTGTCCACCCGCCGGGCTGTGCCCACCCGCGCCCCGTGTCCACCTGCCAGGCTGTGTCCACCCCCGCCCCGTGTCCACCCACCAGCCTATGTCCATCCCCGCCCCGTGTCCACCCGCCAGGCTGTGCCCACCCGCGCCCCGTGTCCACCTGCCGGGCTGTGTCCACCCCCGCCCCGTGTCCACCCACCAGCCTATGTCCGCCCCCGCCCCGTGTCCACCCGCCGGGCTGTGCCCACCCGCGCCCCGTGTCCACCTGCCGGGCTGTGTCCACCCCCGCCCCGTGTCCACCCACCAGCCTATGTCCGCCCCCGCCCCGTGTCCACCCGCCGGGCTGTGTCCAACCCCGCCCTGTGTCCGCCCCATGTCCGCCCGCTGGCTGTGTGTTTCCGCGGGGGTCTCGGGGGCCCCGAGGCAGGTTCCACTCCGAGAGGGTCCTTGTCCATTCGCGGACAGGGAAGCGCGGGCTCTTGGCCTGGCCGCCTGGGTGTGACTGTGGGGCCAGAGCAGTGTCCGCCCGCCTGGAGGCTTGGCCCCGCCCAGTCGGTACCCCAAATCCGGGAAACGCCCACCTCATGCCAGTCATTCCCCTCAAAGGTCCTGATTGGCTCGGTGTTGGGTCACGTGCTCCCAGGGAGGCGGGGCCTCGTGATTGGCAGCTCAGTAGGGAAAACTGGCACACCCACACTGGCGCCTTCGGGGCGGGTTCTGGAGGGCGGCTGGGCCGGTGCCGTTTCTGCTTTTGGGTCACGCCTGCCCGAGCTCAGGGATCACTCCCGACTCTGTGCTCAGGGCTGACTCCCGGCTCTGTGCTCAGAGATCACTCCTGGCTCTGTGCTCAGGGATGACTCCTGGCTCCGAGCCCGGAGATCACTCCTGGCAGTGCTCAGGGGAACCTATGGGATGCCGGGATGGAACGGCAGAGGCTTTCCCTGCAGTCCTGTCCCTCCCGCCCCTGGCCAGTGCTCTGACCCTTCCTTTCCTGTGCATGTCCCTCTGCTTTTAACGGCTGCTGGCGTAGTCGTAAGAATTCCCCTCATCCTGCAGGGGTCAGCGAAGCCCCGGAGGGCATCCGGCTGTCACTCAGGCCCAAGCCCCGGAAAGGTGGGGTCGCAGAGCAGCTGTTGGGTTCTGGGTCTGGGGATGGGCCTGTGCCCTGCCCGGTTCTGGCGTCACAGAGAAGGTGCTGTGCGGGGGGAGGGGGCAGGGCCGTCTCCTCCCGAGCCAGGCTGGCTGCCCTGGTACTGCAGTCTCTGAAGCCTTCTGAGGTGTTTTCATGGGGGGAGAACGCTGTTCTTCCGGGGGCAGGGTACCGCGCTGACACCTCCCGCCTTGCCTGGAGGGACTGACAGTGTGGTGCAATGGTCTGCCAGCTCAGCACCGCCCTTCCCTGTGCTCTGGACCTTCTGAGTGCTCCATGAGCACAAACCGGGGGTAAAGGAGTCTCTGCCTCTCGGGGCTGTGGAGCAGGAAGGGCTGGGCGGGTCTGCCAGCCCCAGGGGGCAGCTTCTCACTCTGCCTTTCCCTTGGGTTTGAGTGAGGGGCCGTTCCTGGGGGATGGGGCCCCGTGCTGCTGGGGCTGGGGCTGGCCGGTGCCCCCTCCCCGGCCCGTGCTCTTTCTCCCAGCCAACGTGGGTCCGAGGTCCCCTGCAGGTGGCCCGGAAAGCACCCGTTGCAGTGTGACCTCAGACAGCTCCTAGGTCACGGGAGGGGGGGCAGGGGGGGCGACATCACAGGGGCTGGAGCAGGGTGTGGGCAGCTGTGACCTCCCCGGGGCGCAGGTGGGGTGCAGAGGGCACGGGTGGGGCGGGGCGGGGCTGTGCCTCTGCGCCACCATGATGTTTGTGGCGCGGAAGCTCCAGGCTGCTGCCAAGGACCAAACACCCGGCCCTTTGTCCTCGCCGTGGGTGCGGGGACAGCACGGCCGCCCTGCAGGAGCCACCCGCTGGCCAGTCCCTCTCGGCTCGAGCAGGACACTGCGCTTGGGACCTTCAGCCCAGTTTTTATTTATTTATTTATTTGCTTTTTGGGTCACACCGAGTGATGCTCAGGGGTTGCTCCTGGCGGTGCTCGGGGGACCATATGAGATGCCAGGGATTGAACCGGGTCGGCCGCATGCAAGGCAAACGCCCTCCCCGCTGGACTATCGCTCTGGCCCCTCCGCCCAGTTCTTACATCATGGGGAGGTGCGGGCCACCAGCATGCCTTAGGGAGGCTCTGGCCGGCGGCAGAGCCCACCCCACAGCCCAGGGAGTGCGGGCCGCTGAGTGCCTCTTCTCGGCTTGGCTTTGAAGGCTGGGGATGGGCACCTCCCCCATGCCCAGAGGGGCACCATCCCCTCCCCAGACCCTGGGGCTTGGCAGGGCCTCTCGCCCTGAGCTCCCAGCACCAGGGCAAACATCCATCCTGAGGTCACGAGCTGCCCCTGGGGAACTTGATAAACTTGACTCTGGAGGCAGGAAGCTAGCCGACCATCCCCGGGCATTTCAGACCGGCTGCTCTCTCGGTGTTCTTGGTCACTTAATCACTTAATCACTTAACTTCCCGTTAGTCGTCGATTTGCTCGAGCGGGCGCCAGTAACGTCTCCATTTGTCCCTGTTGCGTGCTAGTGTAGCCCAATGGCATCTCTTCGCTCCGGGAACATGGAGGGCCTCAAACCGATCGTTCATGATCTTGACAAAGGTTCTTGGTCACAGGACTTTTTTTTTTTTAAATTAGACACCGGACATGGTTGCTCCTTGCACATGGCCAACCTGGGTTTGGTTCCTGTCAGGACTGACCCTGAGCCCAGAGCAGGAGTAAGACCCTGAGCACAGCCGGGTATGGCCCCCAAACAGCAATAGCAAACCCACAAAACTGGCCACATCCCGTGGGGAGGACTTGGGCTTGGGAATAAGGCCGGCTGCGTTTCCTACTCAGGGACTGTGGGCCAGCCGCCTTATCTCTGGCATGTTCTCACTTACGAAAAAAGAAGGTCAAATTTCACAGAGCTCTTGGAAGGACTGAAGAAAAGCAACGTGGGGAAGGGTTTTTTTTTTTTGGTGTTGGTGACAGGTGAACTCCTATTCGTCCTTCAAAGCCCCAGCTTTTTTGACCCCCTTTCTGGCGCCTCTGTTCGAATGGACTTTATCTGTGTGTCTACTCTGGTGAAGATCAAGTGAATTGTGATTTTATGGCCGGGGAGGGAGTGCTGGGCAGGCTGGTGGTGGTGGCCCAGGTCTGGGCTTTGCGGGGGGTCCCGCCCCGTGATGCTCAGGGGACCGTGGGGTGTCGGGGCCAACCAGGGTTGGCATGTGCAGGGCAAGCCCCCTTCCCGCTCCACTGCTCTCTCTCCATCCCCCTACAAATAATCTTTTACTCTTTAGAAACGTGTCCTTCTGCAGGGCCTGGGACGGCCTCCTGAGCAATCCAGGGAGTCCTGGGTCCTCCCTTCCAGGCCTCACAGCACAGTGCTCAAGCCTCCAGGGCGTCAGTGGGTGCAGGGGGTGGAACCCAGCCCTCACCCGCACGCCCTCGGACGCAGGGTCTGTGCACAACTTACCTATTGGTGGTGGAGCTTCCCACCACCCACCTGCTCCCGTGACTCCCGGGGGCCCCCAGTCCCTCTCCCCTTGGGGGCGCCTCGGCCTGGCGCGCCTTGGCCGTCCCTCTGTGCTCTGACGCTCAGCTCGGGCCCACCAGGAGAACGCGGCCCTGTGGGTAAGGGACACCTCGCTGGGCCATTTCAGGCCTTTGAAGTGCTCCGGAACAGAGTAGGCGGGCAAGTGGGGGGCCCCAGCGGGGCTGGTGGCTGCACTGTTCCCGCTCCCGGGGTCCTGGCTTTATGCTCCATCCTCCCACGGCGGGCAGCTGTGTTCTGGGGCCCGCGGGAGCCCCCCGCCCCTGCCCCCGCATAGGATGCGGAGGGTCAGGTCCCCACAGAATGCAACCGTCTGCGACCCGACAGAATGCAGCTGCCCGTGACAGAACGCGGAGGGTCCGCGAGTCTCCCGAGCCCTTTCTGGGGTCCCCACGCGTCCCCTCGAGTGGGACTGCCAGTGTTCCAGAGATGTGGGGGCCCCACCTGGGCGGATGGGCCAGGCCTAGGGGAGCCTCCGTGCGACCCCTCATGCCGCCGTTGTCGGCCGTGGCTGTGCTCAGAGCCCCTGCGTGGTGTTTGCCCGGCCAGCGGTGAGGGGACTGGCGTGGAATGGGGGTTCGGGAGGGATGCCTGTCGGGGCCCGCGGGGCCTGCAGGGGACCTCTACCCACTGGCCGCGCACTGCTGATGCCACACACCTGTGACCACGGCCTTGCTGCCGGTCTGGTCCGGGGTGGTGCCCAAGTCTGTCCCAGCCCGCGCCCAGCTGTCCTCGGGCAGCGGACACCCCGCTGTCTCCTGTGGCTCTCGCCATTTCAGACAAACTATATGAGAGGCTGGGTGGTCCAGAGGCTGGGATGCTGGCCATGCCCGCACAGAAAGGAGTACCCCCTAGGCCTGACCACTGCCCCACACTGCCTGGGTGTGGTCTGGGAAAAAGAGTGGGAAGGGGGGGCTGGAGCGATAGCACAGCGGGGAGGGCGTTTGCCTTGCACGCAGCAGACCCAGGTTCGATTCCCAGCATCCCCTGTGGTCCCCCGAGCACTGCCAGGGGTAATTCCTGAGTGCAGAGCCAGGAGCAACCTCTGAGCATCTCGGGGTGTGACCCTCCCCCCCAAAAAAATAAATAAATAAAAACAAAAGTGGGAAGGACAAGCAGAGGGCGGAGAAGCAGCGCCAGGAGGCCCCGGGCTGTTCCTGAGACCCTCGCGCCTTGGACACGAAGGTAAACCCAGGAGCTCTAAAGCCCCGTCAGGGATGGAGAGACAAGATTGCAGGGAAGGCCCACTGGGTTCCATCCCCTGGGCCCACCAGCAGTGCCCCTGAGCACAGAGCCAGGAGTAAGTCCGGAGCACCGCTGGGTGTGTGGCTGCCATTCTGGGGTGGGTGAGGTGGGCGGCCCCGTTGGGGGTGGGCAGAGGCAACTGCCCAGCCCGAGTCCCGGGCAAAGCGTTTTGCTGGGGTTTGTGGGTGAGTTCCCTGCGGCCTCTTCCCCGGGAAGTGGCAGAAGCGGGAACGGGAGCGCTCCCTCCCCGCCCCCTCCCTGCCCCCTCCCCACGCCCTCCCCATGGGGCCAGGCAGCCAGGGATTCAGTGTCCTTAGGCCCATGCCAGATCTTTCTAGAAGCACAGGTGGTTGGACCTGGCCGAGGACAAAGGTTCCCTTTGACGTTTGGCCTCGGGCCGTGATGATGCTGGGGGGTGGAGGGAGTGGCCCTGAGGCGGGGCTGGACTGTTGCAGTCCAGGAGGCCGTGTCCAGGGCCTGCTGGAGGCTGCTGTGTGTCCCGGGGTGCTCACTGGCCCTCTCTGGGCCTGTCATGAGGAGGGTCTGCGCTTCAAAGGCTGTTCCGTTTCTGCTCTCACCTCCCTCCCCCCCCGTTTAGTTTTATTGGGGGGCACCCAGCCCCGCCGTGCGTGCACGGCCCCTCCCCTGTCTCCCCTTGGTGGTCCCGTGTCTCCACTGGTCTCTGCATGCGACTTCCGGCTGCCCGGGGCGGGTGCGGGTCTCTTGCGTCCTGCCTCGGTGGGGCTGTGGTCACTCTGCTGGTGGGAGGTGCTGGTGCGTCAGGGCCTGTGCAGGCCCAGGGCGGCTCTGAAGGGAGGGGCGGTCTCCCGGGGTCCCTGAGACTCGCTCCGGCCTCGGTCTTCCCCTGCCTGGCGCCTCCTGCCCCGCCCGGCCTCAGGGTTGGGAAAGGGCTGAACTGTCATGAATGCCAGTTCTCGTTTCTGCTTTTTAAAATAAAATCTGCAATGATTTGGAGCCCACGTCCCTCCTCCCGACCACGGTGTTCTGGGCTCTGGGCCTCTCCTGGAGACGGTCGGGGACAGCTGGGCGACCCCACGCTAAGGGAGAGCCGGACCCCAGGAGCCGGGCTCACCCGCAGGCTGCGCTTTCTCCCCCCTCCTCCCCTCCCCCCTTAGTTTTCCCCTGGGGTTAGGGGCTACGCCCGGTGTTCGAATCTGCTCCCAGCTCTCTGCAGTGCAGTGGGTCAGCCCAGCCCCCGGGCAAAGCCCCCTGGAGCTGTGTCCCGGGCCCCGAGGGTCTCCCTTGGCCAGCCCGGCAGCTGCGGGTCAGGTGCCCTCCGCGTGCGGGCACCCAGCGTCCTCTCTAGCCCCTTCACGCAGTGGCCACGGCTGGACCCGAGGGACGGTGTGAGCGGCCGCAGCTGACACCCTCGCCTTGGCTCTGCCCTGGTCCGCGAAAGGAGAGGGCAGGACGGCGGGACTGGGCCATCCCCTGATGTGCGTGCCGAGGCCCCACGCAGCCGCACGAGCCAGGACAGGAGAGCCCAGTGGGCGAACAGGCCACAAACCGGAGAAGAGACACCCGCCCTGGAGGGCCGCGGCTTCTCCCCTTGGAACCCGATAGACCACTCGGCCGGGCTGTGACCTCCCTGGGGCGCGGACAGTACCCCAGGCCTGCCTGGCGAGCAGAGATGCACCACCCCCTCTATCGAATAGTTTAAAGTTAAAATAGTTTTATTGAGGGAACGACCCGAATTCGAAGGCAACGGGGAGTGTCCTGAGAGCCAGGGGAGCAGTGAAGGGGTGAGTGTCCCGCCAGCCGGCAGGTGCAGCCAGCGCCACGGGGCCTCGGGTGTCCACCCGTCCCTCCCTGGGTGGCCCATGGTCACGGGGCTCAGATGGTGCTGGGGGTCTCGGCCTCACAGCCCAGCTACCCTGGGGACTGTGCCCGGATGGAGACGGCTGCCTTCTCGCCCTCCTGCCTGTGGGGCCACTTCCTCTGGCCCTCAGACGCCCTTGACCGGCTCTGAGGCTGCTCACCCTGTTCTGTAGTGTGTGTGCCAGGTGCCAGGCCCTGGTGGGGACGGGCCGCGCGCGCGTGTGTGCGTGTGTGTGTCCCGTCCTCCCTCGAGCAGCAGCTGCTTGGGGACCCCGCCCTCCCCTCCGCGGTGACTGGGCCAGGGAGTCTGGGTCATATTCGCTGCCAGCTGGTGACCCCGACCTGGGCCTCCCCCTGGGTCCCTGAGCCCTGGGGACTGAGGTGACAGACATCGCAGACCAACCCCCTCTTCTCTGCTGGGTCTGTGGCAGCCTGGTGTTAACCCTTTCCCAGCCTGTCTGCACCTCAGGCCCCGTTACCCGCCCGACAGGAGGGCTGAATGCAGGAAACTGAGTCATGGGGGTGGGATGCGTGCGAGCCAGAATCCAGTCTATGACACCAGGGCGCTTCTCAGGACCCCCGGGACCCCCCTGAGCTCCGCCCTGCTGTCACCTGGGGCCTGGCGCTGCCCGGCACCCCTGACGGCTCGCTTCCTCTGTCCCCGCAGAACTTCGCCAAGGAGTTCGTGATCAGCGATCGGAAGGAGCTGGAGGAAGCGGCCATCCGAGATGAGCTCAAGAAGGCGGGCGGCGCCAACTACGACGCGCAGACGGAGTAGCCCAGCCCCGGCCACCGCGCCGGCCCCACGAGCCCCCAGCGCCGAGCTGCTCCTTCCTCCTCCCGCTTCCCGTTTCTGTCCTCAAGGAAAGCCTCTTAACTCGGGGCTGCTCAGCTCAGAGCCGCCCGGGGGCCCCTTCCCAGCCTGGCCCGAGACGCCCGCAGCCTCCCCGACCCCGAGCCTGGGGGCCAGCACGGCCCACTGGCCAGCCACGCTGCTGCCCCCACGGCAGCCTCGAGCACACCTGCCCCTGCATCAGGCTGGACCCCGGGAAGACCCCCGGGCCCCTCCCTGCTCACCGCCTGAGCCCGGGCCCGGCCCGGCGGGGCTCAGTGCATGGCTCAGGCCTGACTCGGAAATTTGCCTTAAACTTGCTGGGCAGCACAGGGGCCCCCCCGGGTGACGGCCCTGCCCTCCAGCCGGGAGCGAGGCTGCCCAGACGTGAGGCTGTCGTGGGACCCCCAGCCGCCCGCCCCGCCCCTCAGGATCGCTTTCCTTCCCGGGTGGGAGACGAAACGGGCAGCTTCCCGGACCTTCCCTCTCGCCCCTCCCTCCAGGGCTCGGGCTGTGTGGGGCTGGGACGCATCTGGTCAGTTTACAGAAATAAACGGTCTGTGTTTTCCAAAGGATGTCGCGTCACTGGGTCGGCAGCCTCTGGGTCTGGCTGCCGGGGGTTTGTGTCCCCCCACCCTGGGGGCCCGTTTCTCCCCCACTGCGGGACGCAGCTGTGCCTCACTGGGCCGGGAGGGGGGTCTGGGCGGCCCCTCGTCCCCTGCTCGCCTCAGGAAGAGCAGGAAGTGCCTTCTCAGCCTTTGGGGCTGCTGGGGGCAGGTGTGGGCCCGGGGGCCCGGGCGTCCAGCTGTCCAACCCGTTGGCCTGGGGTTCTGGGAGCAGCACCACAGCTCCTGGAGCACTGCTTGGAAGCCCAACCCCCTCCTAAAGGAAGACTTCAGGAGGGCCCCATCCCTTAGGGTGCCCTTTGCTCTGGGGACAGGCACTCAGTCTGGCCCTCGGTGGCTGTCAGACAGGGCTGGGCTGTGGCCTGGGGAAGCCGGGGGGCCCATGTTGGGGCTGCACCTCCCCCCACAGCGAGGACAGAAAGGCGGGGACCTTCTCCCCTCACGTCGAGTCCCAGGCAGCACCTGGGGGGGCAGCGGTCAGGGCGACGGAGGTGCCCGCCTGGCTCCTGGCACTCCCCACCCTCGGTCCTGGCATACCAACCCCGAGAGGGACAGAGCCGGAGGGGGCAGCCGGGGGCGGGGGTGGCGCTGCTGGGCCCTGTGACTCGGACCCTCCCCCGGGCTGAGCCTGGCGGGCCAGCTGCTCGGGGCCGTGACCCCTGCGCTGTGACGGCCTGGTTGCAGGAAGGGCAGCGTGCGGCCGTCTCTTTCTGCAGCCGCCTGGCGCTGCTCCCACGGGCTGCGGCTTCAGCTCGGGCTGGGCTCCGCTGAGGCGCAGGGTGGCATGTGGCTGTGCGGGCCCAGGGGGGCTCGAACCCCTCCCCTCACGAGGTCCGAGCCGGGGCCTGAGCTCAATCATCCCCGGCCCAAACACCTTTGCATGAACCCACGGGAATGAATGAGCAGTTCGCAGCCTCGTGGAGGAAACCACTGAGGGGACTCTCTGTCCCCGGGGGCCCGGCCTGGAGGGCAGGTGTGAGCGGGCCCACTGGTCAGTGTCTGTCCACTGACCGGCTCTCCAGGGGCCTGAGCCTGTCCTGCAAGGCTGCCCCCTCATACTGTCCTTGGCGGCCTCCAGACCACCTGGTGAGTCCTGGCCCCAGCCGGGAAGGCACGTGAGGGCAGGTGAGGGCCCAGCTCTGATGCAAACAGGCACCTGGGGGCAGGTGAGGGTCCTGCCCTGAGTGATGTCAGCAGGTCCGTGTGAGCGGCAGGCACGGGCAGGAGGGAGGCGGGCAGCTGTGGGGTCTGAGCTCAGGGTGGGGGGAGGGGCGTGCAGAGTCCCTGAAGCTGCTTCCCGGGAGGGGGGTGCAAGGGGGGACTGCCTCCCCCGTAGGACTAAGGCACGTCTGACCCGGGGCTCCCAGGGGGGCTTCGTGGGGCCCGGGGAGCAGCCAAGGCTCAGGGGTGACCCAGCTGTTGGGGGCCAGAGTGGTGAGACCCCAGGACAAAGCGAGTGTGAAGGCAGGGGAGGGGTCGGCTGAGCCTCCAGGCGCTCTAAGGTGATGGGAGCACTCCAGGGTGGGAGGGAGGACCGTGCTCACTCACCTCCCAACTGCTGTGGGAGCTGGGGTCCCGAGGCATGGTCTGTCCGGAACAGAGACCTTCCTGCCCCCGCGGGACCCCTGGCGGACACACGCAGGCTGAGGTCAAAGGCGCTCTTTCCGCAGAGGTCCATCCCCTGGCAAGAAATCCGGGCAGGCAGACAAGACAGCTGGGGGCCGGCCTTGCACAAGGCCCGCCAGGTGTGAGCGCTGGCACCACCTGGGGTCCCGAGCCCTCCAGGAGTGACCCCTGAGCACTGTGTGAAGCCCTCAGCTGGAATCTAGAGACCCAAACGCCAACCGGGTGAAGCTGGCGGGTCTGGGGCTCACTGCCAGGCCCCCCCACCCCCCACCCCTCACTAGCCCTTGGGAAGAGAAGCCCCCGCAGTTGGCCTTGCCGACCCCTCCTGGCCCAAGCCCAGTGGCTGCTCTTCACAAACGGGGCGCCCATTCAGGCTTGCACCACGAAAGGGGGCGCAAAGGACCCCTGGCCACACGCGGCCAACCCACTTGTGTTTCTGAAACGGGTTCCCAGCGTTCTCAAACTCACAGCAGCCGGGCCCTGACTGGGGGTCCCACCCACATCACAGGGGGCCGGTTCCAGGCCTGGCACTGGCCGGACTCTGAAGCGGCCTCCCTGGGCTGGAAACTGCATCCTACTTGGGGTACAGACCCCCAGGTCGGGCAACAGTCGTTTCCTCCCTTTTTGGAAAATAAACTGGCGTCCCCTGGGACTGGAAGGCCATCTTCTCCGTCCTCTGAGCGTTCCTTACCTGACCAAGGCTCCCTCGAGCACAAATAAATGGGAGGGGCTGGGATGCAGAGACCTGGGTTGGTAACTCGGGAGGACCCAGGGTTAAAGGGCAGGGTCCCCAAGTGCATCATGCTCCCGGGGGGCTGCGTTTCTCTCAGACCGGTGGGAGCGACAGCACCGTGAGGAGGGCACCTGCCTTGCACAAGCCCCGCACGCTCCCTTCATGGCTCCTGGCCCTCCCTGTCTCTGAGCCTGCCCCCCAGGAAAGTATTCCTGCATCAGTGAGTCTGGAGCCTCAGGGACAACGGCAGGACCTTGCCGGGGCCAGACCGACAGTCTGAGCAGCCAGTCGTGAGCAGCCGTGAGCCGGCTGGGACGCCCTCCCCGACGGGGCTTCCCACGGGCAGTGGGACGATGGCTGCCCCCGAGTGATGCAGTGCCCAGGATCCCCCTCAGCACTGGGAACCCCCTCAATGTCTAACGATGAAAGATTCCCCTAAGGCCACCCAAGTTCCAGGGCCGCGGTGATGCCGGGTGCTTTCCCGCGGGGAGGCCGGGCCGAGCTCAGCCGCTGGACAGGGGCGCGGACAGGCCCCAGCACCCGCTGGCCAAGTTCCTGCGCGCTGACTCGCCCCTGCCCCCATATTTGTTGAGTGAATAAAGAGAATCTTCAAGGCCCAGAGAGGGTGGGCGGGACCCTGGTGACAGGAGCTGAGCCCAGATGCTGGTTGCTATGGCAACCCGGGACCGTATCCTGGCTGGCTTTGGGGAGATCGGAGTTCCCCCAGGGAGCAGAGGGACCCCGGAGGCGGGCGGGCGGTTGGGAGGGGACCCAGTTCCCATCTGCTCCCCACAACACTACCCCTGGGTGGGGGCCCCCAGGGCACTCCCGCCTCCGGAGGATCGAAGGATCGTGGGCATGGACGCAGTCTGACCCCTCATTAGAGGAAATCAGGCTCCCCTTATGGAGCGAGGGCAAGTGGCGAGGGAAGACCCTGAGGTTGAGGGGCCAGCCGATGACCTCGGTCCCCTGAGCAGACTGCCCGGCCAGCGCCCCAGGGACAGGTCAGGCCGGGTTCAGGCGCCAGATGGGCGTGGAGTGCTGCCTCCCTGGGAAAGGCGAGCCTTTGGCTGGGGGCTGTGGTTTTGCCTCGGGGACCGTTTGTGGTGCTGGGGTCGGGCTGAGCTGAGTTGTGGCGTGAGGAAGCCCTCCCTGCCAGCCTTGGCTTCTGATCAGCGCCTGCTTGAACCCTGCTCGCACCTCGGTTCCGGCAGACCTGTGGTACCTTCGACAGGCATCAGCCCGCAGCCTGCGACACTCACACCCGCATTCCGGAGCCGGTGTGGGCCTTGCTGTGGAGTTTGCTTGCTGGGGGCAGCGGCGGCGCCTGACCTGTGCTCCGCAGGGTGGGCGGCCGGCTGGAGCAGGTGCAGCCCACAGCCATGCCCCCTTCCTAGGCCCTTGGGCACAGCTGAGAAGCCTCCAGGCCTTGGTACCCCAAGGGCGCCCCAGTGGGCTGTCCCATAGGGCCCACTTCATGCTCCATGGGCTGTCCAGGCTGCTGGGGTGGTTCTGGGGCCCCAGCTAGACGCTGCTCCAACAGCCCCCTGCCAGGCCCTCTGGACGCTTCTAGAACGTTCTCCTGCCAGTGGCTGTTTCTGCGGCCCTGAGTCCTGGCTGGCGGATTCTACCCACAGAGTCTGGGCTGGGGGCTCTGGTAGGGCTCGGGGGAGACGGGGCTGTGGGGGTGCCCTCTCTCCTCACGTCTAGAACTTCTTTCCTGGGGGCAGAGCTGGTCTCGTCAGAGATGCTCAGAGCGGGAAACCAGGTGCCCCGAAGGGTTCCTTTGGAAACACAAACTCGAGTCTGCTCGGCCCACCCGACGGCCTGCATTCTGGGTCCTGCCCTTGCTGGTGGCCGGCGCACCATCCCGGCTCTCTTTTCAGAGTTCTCATTCTTTCTGCCAGGGCAGTGGGGATCTTTCCCGGGGAACACCGAGGCCGTCTCGGAGCGCGCAGGGAAGGCATGTGGGGTGACGGGAGCCAGCCCTGAGGCTAAGCCATGCACTGGGGTTGCCTTGGCCGGAACGTTTGCTTGTTGGGAAAACTGTTTCTGTAAGTTGTGAGGCCCAGAGGATCGAGCCTGGCAGGTGCAGACCCACGGCCCTCGGGGAGACCCCCGGGACACCACAGCCTTCTGTCTGCCCCAGGCCCTCAGCTCTTCCCTCCTCCCAGAAACAGCACCTGGCAGCTTCCGGTGGGGGGGTTCTGGGGAGCGCTGCTGCTAAGAACATTCTGGAACAAGTTCTCACATATGCCAACAGACTTCTGGTGTCTGTCTGTGCCGTTTTAGAGTCTCCCAAGTGGTTAGAACATGTTTGTTCGAGAAGCGACTTTCTTCCCTTTTCTTCCCCTTTTTTCCTTGGGGTGTGGCGGGGGGGGGCAGGCACTGGCTCAGGGCTGGCGCAGGGTGGACGCCTGGCTGTGCTGGTCTCTGCGGGGGCCTCCCGGTGCAGGGTCTGAGCTCGGCCCTTCACGTTCTTGCTCCAGCCCAGGACTGGCTACTTGCTTTTCTTTTATTCTTTCCTTCTTTTTTTTTGCTTTTTGGGTCACACCCGGCGATGCTCAGGGGTTCCTCCGGGCTCTGCACTCAGGAATTACTCCTGGCGGTGCTCGGGGGACCATATGGGATGCTGGGAATCGAACCCGGGTCGGCTGCGTGCAAGGCAAACACCCTACCCGCTGTGCTATCGCTCCAGTCCCGAAGCTCAAAACACTTGAGATTCTATAATTATGTTTGTTTTGGGGATCCTGCCTGCGTGCTTGGGGGCACCCCTGGGTGCTGGGCTGAGGCGGGTGTTTCCGCACACAGCAGCGCGCAGCCCTCGGCTCTCTCAATGAGTGAAGACAAACCCTCCGGTGGTCTCGGCCCCACTGTGGGGTCCAGCTCAGGCCTGACCCCCAGCCGCCCACTCCAGCTCACGCCAGAAGTCTGGACATAATCACGGAGATTTTTTTTTCTTTAACCTTTACGTTTTTGTTTGTTTGGGGACTACATCCCCTCGGTGCTGGGGGCTACTCCCAGCTCAGTGCTCCTCGGGGATCATGTGTGCTGGGGATCACCCCCGGGGCTTCCACACACGGAGCTGAGCTGCAGCCCTGAGTCAGCTCCCTGGCACGAGGTACTTTTATGTTGTTTTCGTTGGGGGTCACACCCGGTGGTGCTCAGGGCTTCCTCTGGGGACCGCCTCGTCTGTGGTGCCTGGGTGGAGCCCAGGTTGGCCACGTGCAGGGCAGACGCCCTCCTTGCCATGCCATCCTGTCCCTCTGGCCACGGGTCATTTTCTTTTTTTTTTTTTGCGTTTTGGGTCACACCCGGCGATGCACAGGGGTTGCTCCTGGCTCTGCACTCAGGAGTCACTCCTGGCGGTGCTCAGGGGACCATATGGGATGCTGGGAATCGAACCCGGGTCGGCCGTGTGCAAGGCAAACGCTCTACCCGCTGTGCTATCGCTCCAGCCCCCCCGGGGTCATTTTCTTAAATCCAACAAGTTGCTGTGCTCCTCCGGGCCCCGTTTCCCCGTCTGTGAACTGGGACTAAAATTCCTCGTGGCCTGCGTGGATGCCACGGGCTCCAGCTGTCCAGCCCCCTGCAGCTGGCACCTCTCCCGTGACCCCGTTTGAGCCCCCAAATGCAGCCTTTTCTGATGCTGCTACCCGCCTGCCCCCTGCAGGGCCCAGCCAAGCATCCTTGTGGGAGGGGGGGCTGGACGCGTCTCTGCACCTGGTCGTCACCCCCACAGAGGTCAGGAGCCCCCGCCCCCTCCCAGGCAGTACCGGCGGGGGGCCCTGGCGGGACACGCTCCAAAGATGCCTTTTATGGTCACAGAGAACCAGGCGGCGTCCCCAAAAGCAGAAGCTCGGGCGGGGCGTGTGCGCGCAGGGGCTGACCGCAGTGACATTTGGTGCCGTGTCAGCCCAGCGGGGGCGGCTGGCTCAGCGACCAGGGTTCAGCTTCCTCCTGCAGGAACTCACCTTCCACCGCCCTCCCCCACCACCGGGCCCCAAGGCGCGGGCTCGGCCTGGGGGCGCCCCCTCCCGCTTCACGCCTGTCCCTGGCAGGGCTGCAAGGGAGGAGGCAGGGCTTGTTGTGTGGGACCGAAGGGCGGGCGTGAGAGATGCTCCCACCCGGGGCAGACGGCGCGGACGGCCAGGGTGTCAGGGACCCTTGATTCGTGGTGGTGTTGAATCACGCAGCGACGCTCAGGGCCGGGTCCTGGCAGGGCTGGGCCGCAGACAGACCCCTGGCCTGGCCACTATTGCTCTGCCCTGTCCCCAGGCCTTGGCAGCGGCTTCTCAGTGGCGTGAGCGCCGCCTTGTGGGCACGTGGCTACACAGCGAGCCAGGACGGACCCCAAGGACAAGTGGCAGCAGAGCCGGTACAGACCGCCTGGCCCTCATCACCTCCCTGACAGCCTCGGTGACGCATCACGCGTCCTCGTCCTGCAGGGCCCGGCCCGCTGCTGGACACGGGGCGGGGGGGCGGGCGGCAGGCCGTCACTAAACGCCCTGTCCCCATCAGAAAGTAGCGTCCCCTCTCTCGGGGCTGACGCAGGCAGCACTCTGCAGACAGAGGGTATCAGCCGGTGACCGCTGTGTTCAGACTCACCGCCGTGGACACCTGCCCCTCAGCGTGGGCCCGGCGCAGTTTTGGGACAGTTTACGTGAAAACGGCTCGTGGCTTACCCTGGATTTGAATGACTTGAGAATCCCGGCTCTTATGTTCTACACGTGACAGTGCTTCTGAGCACTCCGGCGCAGAGGGAGGAGGGGGAGGCGGTGGGGGAAGGAGGAGGGAGGGCAGCAGGGAGGGGAGTGGGCCCTGTCCACCCTCTGTTGGCATTCAAGGTGCCCCTCAGCCGTGCCAGCTTTGAGGGGCAGGGGAAGAACCTGCTTTTATTCTTTTCTTTTTGGGTCACACCTGCCCGGTGATGCACAGGGGTTCCTCCGGGCCCATGCGCGCAGGAATCACCCCTGGCGGTGCTCAGGGGACCTTGTGGGATGCCGGGAATCGAACCCGGGTCAGCCGCGTGCAAGGCAAACGCCCGACCCGCTGTGCTGTTAGAACCCGCTCCTGAGTCCTGTGCAAGCCTCCTGGGTCGGCAGGGACAGGCTGCAGGGAGCCGCGCGGCCAGCAAGACACCCCTTTGGGGTGACCCCCACCCAGCGGCCAGAGGGGGCGGGGCTGGGGTCAGCAGAGGAGGCGGCGTCTGGTCGCCCGAAAGCCTCGGTGTCACCCGGCTGTCTCCCGAGGGGCCCTTCTTTGTGCCACGCCCCCCAGGGCCCCCCGGACTCCTGACCCCCGGCCCGGACACCCGTCGGCGCCCCCCGTGTCCCGCGCCTCGGACACCCGCCGGCGCCCCCGTGTCCCGCGCCTCGGACACCCGTCGGCGCCCCCGTGTCCCCAGCCTCCCGCACCCGGGCTCGGACACCCTTGGGTGCCCCCCTCGTCCCCAAGCCCGGTGGTGCCCCGGGCCGCGCGCGGCTCTTCCCGCGACTTCCGGCCTCGGCCCGGCCCCGCCCCCACCGGCCCGGCCGGCCCCCTTCCCACCAGCGTCGTTGCCATTGGCCGGTACGTCCCGAAGCCCCGCCCCCTCGGCGTCCGCGCCGGCGATTGGAGCAGCCAGCCGCCCGTCAGCGCTGTCCGCGCGGGGAAGGACGCGGCGGGGCCGGAAGATGGTCTAGGCGGGTCACGGTGAGCCGCGCCGCTGCCGGGTGCCCGGGGCGGCACGGCCCTGCTCGGGTGGGCGGCGGGGTCGTGGCCTTGGCCCGGCGGTGTGGACCGTGCCCGGCGTGGGCCTGGCCCTGCCCCCGGCTGCCGCCGCCTCTCCTGGTAGAGGGAGGCAGGGCGGGGACCCCCGTGTGCGGGGACGGGGCGCGACGCCCCCGTGAGCCCAGAGGGCCCCGAGCCGTCACCTCCCCTGGGGCAGGTCTCTGTCCCCTGAGCCTGGGGAGGGCAGGTCTATGTGTCCACTGGGTCGGGGGCAGGTCTCTGTGTCCCCTGGGCCTGGGGGGGGGCAGGTCTATGTGTCCACTGGGCCTGGGGAGGGCAGGTCTCTGCTGTCCCCGGGGCCTGGGGCAGGTCTCTGTGTCCCCTGGGTCTGGGGGGGGGCAGGTCTATGTGTCCCCTGAGCCTGGGGGGGGGGGCAGGTCTCTGTGTCCCCTGGGCCTGGGGAGGGCAGGTTTCTGCCGTCCCTGGGGCCTGGGGCAGGTCTGTGTGTCCCCTGAGCCTGGGGAGGGCAGGTCTCTGCTGTCCCCGGGGCCTGGGGCAGGTCTCTGTGTCCCCTGGGCCTGGGGGGGGGGGGGCAGGTCTATGTGTCCCCTGGGTCGGGGGCAGGTCTTTGCCCGCAGACCAGAGAGAGGGTCTGGGCAGGACCTGAGCGTGTATCGGGACCCAGGGCAGCTGCTCCCAGCGTGAGGGGTGAAGCCAGCCGTGGACGCTGAGTCCACCTTCCGGCCACACGGGCAGGCTGCGGGTCCCGGGAGCGCACAGTGCGTGAGGAGTGCGGGGCAGTGGACAGGCCGGGGAGGCCCTGGGAAGAGGCTGCAGAGCGCGGGCACCAGCACCAGTCACCCCGCCGGGCCGCCCCCGTGGCCAGAGAGCAGAGGGACGTGCTGTGGACTTGAGTCTCTTCTGCCCGGTGCTGGGCACCTTCCCTGCCCCCCCCAGCCAAGGGGTGCTGTGTCCTGAGCTCACATCTCCCCGCCCCACCCCGCCCCAGGCCCCACAAAAGTCCGCCCAGAGCAGCGGGGGGACTCTCAAGCCCCCTGACCCCCACTGCCCTCCCTGGCCCACGCTCATGGCCCCTCCTGCCCGGTCTGTCCCCCGATTGCAGAGCAGGGACTTGGGCGCTGCTGCTCGCGTGGGCGCACAGTGCCACCGGGACCCCGGGGACGGCGGCATGTCCCCTCAAACCCCCGACACCGGCTGTTTGCTCTGGAGCCCCTGAGCCGAAACGTGCTGGGCATTTCTTTTTTTCCCACGTGTGGGCCATTCTGTCCGTCCCTCTCCTGGCTGGCCACGCCCGACATGTCCCCTCCACCAGCCTACGGCAAGAGTCCGGGTCCCAGCCGAGCCCATTCCCCGTGTGTGTAGACCGCAGCTCTTTATCCCGTCGTCTGTGCCTGGACATTGCCAAGCGCGGCTTTAGAGAAAGGAGTGTTCCCTGGACACAGGCCTGTGTCCCAGTCCCCCGGGGACGGGCCCCATGAGGCCATGCAGGACGTGGCGGGTCTCCATGGCTGTGCCCCCGTGGCGCGCCGCGACCCGCCATCCCCTCCTGTGTGACGTGGCGGCTTCCTTGCAGCTCGCCCGCGCCAGCAGGAGGAGGAGAATGGGGAACACCAAGAGCCGGCCGGGGGCCCCCACCTGCCTGCAGCTGCCCCCCGAGGAGCAGGCCGAGGTCAGCAGGCTGTTCAACCTCCTTGCAGCAGACGCGCGGACCTTCTCGCTGAAGGCCCTCGAGGCAAGGACGCAGGGGTGGGGGGGCTGGGGGCCGCTCTGCCTGCGGGGTGTGCCCACCCACACTCCGCTGAGCCCGGGTCCACGTGCCCCCCTGCAGGGCCACGTCGGGGAGGCGCTGCCCCCCGCGATGGTCAGGCGGCTGTATGACGGCATGCGGAGGGCCAAGCCCGTGGGCCCCCACGACGGCGTCTCCCGCGAGCAGCTCCTGACGTTCCTGGCCGGCCTCCTGCGGGGGGGCACCGAGGAGAGGGCCCTCGTGGTGCTTGCGATGCTCTCTGCCAGCCCCGGCCCTGTCAGCACCGCCGAGGTCCAGAAGGTGGGTGGCCCGGCCCTCCCCAGGGCCCCCTGGGTGGGGTGGGGCCGGCAGAGGTGTGGGGGTGTCCCCCAGGAAGCCAGAACGCTGGCCGGCAGAGGCCAGGCCGGTCCCTCGAGGACCGAGGTCCCGACCCCGAGCCCCACGCCCGCGAGGCCCCAAATCCTGTCCCTGGACCACGTGGCCCCAGCTCAGGCCAGAACCGCTCCGTGGGCCCCGCTGGCCGGGACATTGTCCGGAGCGGTCAGGCCCATGGCTCCCTGGTCAGTTTGCAGAGGAGTTGGTGGGCGCCGCGGCGTGGGCGCTGCGGGGCTGGACACAGGCAGAGGGCCCGGACTCCACGGCCAGGGTGCGGGCGCTGGCGCTGCAGCTGCTGTCGGAGCTGCAGCCCCAAGGCAAGTGTCCTCGTCCCCTCGTGCCGGGCTGGCAGGGCCCCTCGTCGCGTCTCTGCCTCGGCCAGCTGGCCAGAGGGTTGCGTCTAGGTCAGTTCGTGGGCAGCAGCAGGGGCCGGAGACCGCACGGGGAGGGCCTGAGACAGCGCCCGGGGTGCGCCCCTCATGGTGGCCCAGGGACACCTGGACTGACGGGCTCCTGGGGGCGTGGTGAGGCCAGCACCCCGGTGCTGGGCTGGGCTGGCTGCTCCCCCGCTTGCTGTGTCCCGTCCGGGGGCCTAGCGTGGCTGTTCCCTCATTTGCATTTGGGAGTGACAGCACAGGTGACAGGAGTGTCCCGGCTTCCCGTGTCCCTGTCGCTGCAGAGCTCAGGGCCTCTCAGCCTCCCCTACGGCCAGCCTGGCTGGGTGGACCCGTAGCCCCAGGCGCTGTTCGTGCCTGTCCCTCTCTCCCCTGGGACTCCTTCGGTTCTGTGCCCGAGGCAGCCGTCCGCTCACCCACTCAGGCTTGGGGCTGGTTCCAGACATACTGGTTTGAAGGGTGGGCAGACGCCTTCCAGTTGAGTGTTTGTGTTCTCTGCCTGGATGCCGGTGGGGTTGCTGGTCCCAGGGGAATGAAGTTGGTGTTTTGTTTTGTTTTTTTGCTTTTTGGGTCGCACCTGGCGATGCACAGGGGTTCCTCCTGGCTCTGCACTCAGGAGTTACTCCTGGCGGTGCTCAGGGGACCACATGGGATACTGGGAATTGAACCCGGGTCGGCCCCGTGCAAGGCAAGTGCCCTACCCCCTGTGCTATCTCTCCAGCCCCTGAAGCTGGGGTTTTAACGGTGGGTTAGACAGGAGGTGCTTTCGGATATCAGGGGGTCTGGAGCTTGGCTCACGAATGTTCCACACGGTATTCGGGCCCTGGGGGCTCCACGTACTGCCCAGGGCTTACTCCCAGTGGGGCTCGGGGCACCCTCTGGGTGCAGGGACTGGACCGGGGGTGGCCGCTGTGGCCTCTCTCCAGCCCCTTCTCTGCTGTGGTGCCCCCTGTGCTGTGGTGCTCCGGCTCCTGGTGCCGACCCGGAGGTGTCAGCGGCCGCTGTCCCCCCCCCCCCCCCGCAGGCGACGGCTGCGACCGCGCGGCGCTGGAGGCCTGGCTGGGCCGCGCGCCCCTCGCGGGCACCTTCCTGAGCCTGCTGGCCCACGGGGCGCTGCTGCGGCGGCGCGGGGCGCCCGGGCCGGGCCCGCTGCTGCCCGAGCGGCAGGTGGAGCCGGGGCCCGGCTTCGGCGGGCTGCTGGACGCGCTGTCCGCCGCCTTCCTGAGCGCGCACCTGCCCTCCGCGCGGCGGCACCGCTGGCGCCTGCTCTTCGCCGCCGAGCGCCACGGGCGCAGCTTCGCGCAGCTCTGCGGCCGCCTGGCCCGCCGCGGGCCCTGCCTGCTGCTGCTGCGCGACCTGCAGGGACACGTCTTCGGGGGCTTCGCCTCCTGCTCCTGGGAGGTCAAGCCGCAGTTCCAAGGTCAGCGCCGCGCCGCGCCGCGCCGCCCCGACCACGCCCTCCGCACCCGCCCCGGCCACGCCCAGTGAGCCTGCCACGCCCCCGGGCCCGCCCTCCGCACGCGCCCCACCCTGACCACGCCCTCTACGCACGCCCCGGGCCCGCCCTCCGTGCCTGCCCCCGGCCACGCCCTCTGCGCACGCCCCGCCTCCGGACCCGCTCTCCGTGCCCGTCACGCCCCGCCCCGGCCACGCCCTCCGCACAGCCCCGCCCCCGACCGGGCCCTCTGCGCCCGCCCCGCCCCTGCCACGCCTCCGGACCCGCCCTCCGTGCCCGCCACGCCCACGGACCCGCCCCCGGACCAGCCCTTCCCGGGCTCGCCCGCCCCGCCCCCAGGACACGACCGGACCCGCCCCCCGGACCCGGGCTCCGCGGCTGGTCCCGGCGGGGTCCGCCGGCAGGGGGCGCCCAGGCTCCGTCCGCGTCCCGGGAGCTTCCCCGCCCGCCTCGCAGGAGCAGCCCTGGGGGTCCTTGCCCGGGTCAGAGACGCCGTGCTCCGCCCCCAGCAGCCCCCTCCCCCGGGCGCCGGCCTGGTGTCACGTGGTCAAGGCTCCTGGGGTGGGGGGGTGCAGCCTCCCACCGGCGCCCGCTGCCCTGCTGGCCCCACCCCGCCCCCAGGGAGGGTCAGGCCCCGGCCGAGGGGTCCGAGGGGCGGGCTGCCCCCCCAGCTCGCCCCCTTCCCCGGGACACGGGGGCGTGGCCACTGTCCGCTGACCTCCAGCAGGGCCTGGGCCCTCCCGCTGTGTCCCCGCGCAGGGACGCGCCCGTGGCCCGCCTGGGGGCGCCGGGTGGCCCGTTACCGTGTGCGACCCTCCCCGCAGGGGACAGCAGCTGCTTCCTGTTCTCCCTCGCGCCCACCATGGCCGTGTACCCCTGCACCGGCTACAACGACCACTACATGTACCTGAACCACGGGCAGCAGACCATCCCCAACGGGCTGGTGAGCACCGCGGGCCGGGGTCTGTCTGCCGCTTGGCCCGCGGGGGCGGTGGGTGGGCAGCGGGGGCGGGCCCGGGGGCAGCCGTGGCGGGAGCGGTCTGGCAGGCTGGACCCGGGTCCACCCGGGGCTGCCTGCGGGGACGGAGGGACGAGCCCCTTCCCACGAGCTCTGCTCAGGCTGGGGGGCTCCCGCGCTGCCCCCTGTAGGCCATGGGGTGGGGCTGACGCTGCCCCCTGCAGGGCACGAGGGTGGGGGTCTGACTCTGCCCCCCTCTAGGGCATGGGGGGCCAACACCACTACTTCGGGCTGTGGATCGACGTGGACTTCGGGAAGGGCCACAGCAAGGCCAAGCCCAGGTGCACCACCTACGGCAGCCCGCAGCTGTCGGCCCAGGAGGACTTCCAGTTCGAGCAGCTGGAGGTGTGGGCGGTGGGCGACAGCCCCAGCACCGAGGAGGTGAGCGGGACCCCCATTTGCCTGCGGAGCGAGGGTCTGGGAGGGACTTGGAGGAAGGAGGCCCCGGCCCAGGAAGTGCCTGGGGCAGGCTTGGAGCTGCCTGGGGGCGCGGGAGCCCCCCCGTCTCCTGGGGTGTGGGTGTCCCGGGCTTCCGTTCACTTGCTCCAGCAGGGCACCCTGCACTGGCCACGGGGACCAGGCACAGCCCCCTGGTCACCTGATGTCCCTCTGGTCACCTGATGTTCCCCTTACCCTGGTCACCTGATGTCCCCCCTGCCCTGGCCACCTGATGTCCGGCCCCCGTCCAGCAGAACAGGAGCAGCCAGAGCATCTTGGACAAGGACCCCGAGGTCCAGGCCCTGCTGGAGGTCAGCGGACTGAGCTTCCACAGCCGGGGGGTGCGGGAGGCCCCCGAAGACGCATGAGGGCGAGCCCTGGGCCCCCCACATCACCTCGGACAGCCCTGGTGGGGCTGCTTGCCCTGTGGGTCCAGGGGCGGGGTCCCCCAGAAACTCAAGACTCAAACCAGCACCCCAACTCTTGGTTCATTTTGTTTTGTTTTCTTGGGTCACACCCGGCGATGCTCAGGGGTTCCTCCTGGCTCTGCACTCAGGAATCACTCCTGGCGGTGCTCGGGGGACCCTATGGGATGCTGGGAATAGAACCAGGGTCGGCCGCCTGCAAGGCAAATGCCCTCCCTGCTGTGCTATCACTCCAGCCCCTCTTGCTGGGGTCGGCACCTGGGGGGGGTGCGTGTTCCTGCCGTGTGTCTGTCTGTTGTGTGTCTGTCTGTGATCATGTGGTCTCTGCTGGGGTTAGTGGCTGTTGGGGAGGTGTGTGTGGGGGGGGGCGGTCATGGCTGGGGGGGTCGTGGCTGAGGGCCCACCCCAGGCCACAGCGGCGTGGGCATGAGCCCTGGCCGGGCACAGTGCTCCGGGGAGAGCAGGCGGGCTGGGCGCAGACAGTGACTGGGGAACGGCACAGGGGGCTGTCGCCACGGGGTGCAGCGCAGAGGGCCTGGCACCGCAGCCACACCAGGAGTCCCCAGTGGGGCCCCCCAAGGGCCACGGAAGGTGCATGCGGGGGAAGGGCCCAGCTCTGAGGGGAGGGCTCTATGCTTCCGCCCCCACGTGGCCCTGAGGCACCTGGGGAGGCCACGCCCCCCAGATGAGGGCCCCCACTCCCTGGCTCGGCTCTGACCACTGCCTTCCGGCAGTCGCTGGCTACAGGACCTTGGCAGGCGGGCCGCGGGGCTTGCCCTGTGACAAGCTGCCCTTAGGTGGGGTCTGCACGGGCCACCAGGAGCACCCACAAAAGGGACCCCACCCCGCAGCGACAGACACGGGCGGTGGGCAGGAAGCTCGTGGACACAACGCGACGGCCACGCGCGGGGTCAGTGCTGCTCCGGCCACGCGTGGTTCCCACCGCCAACAGCACGCGGAGCACAGGCCGGGCTGTGAGCGCAGTGGGGGCGGGGGGTGCAGCTCACGCCGTGGGGGCGGGTGCTGGGGAGGGTTCGGGGACGCAGAGCGGGGGACACCTGAGACCGCTGTGGCCGAGCGAGGCGGGCTCTGCCGCAGGCATCCGCGCGCGCTGCTGGCTTCGATTTTTATTTATTTGTTGTGGGGTCGCATCCGACTGCTGCCGGGACTCTCTCCTGGCGGTTCCGGGGGATCGCGCGGGGTGTCTGGAGGAACTTGGGTCGGCTGTGTGCGAGGCGGGTGCCCTCCTGCGGGCCCAGGGGCCTGCCCGGTGCTGTTTCTGCTTGGGAACCATATTTCTGGGCATGATCTGGTGCAAGACGGGCCCAAAGAAGCCCAGTGCAGGGGAGGGACCCCCCGCTGCCTGGCCGTGCACAGCATGGCCCTGTGGGGACCCCAGACCCGGAGGTGCCCGGCCCAGCCTTACGCTGTGGGAAGTGGGTGCTTCCCTCCCGCTCAGCCCCGGTGGGGTGGGGGTGAGTGCTGGGGGTGCCATGCCTGCCCCCACCCCCAGGGCTGGCTCTGACACGCCACGGGCCCTCGCTGACCCTCGTGCCTGTCCTGACCTGTGCCCCCACCGAGGCCCGGAACCGGGCAGGGTTGGTCCCCCCGTTTCTCCCCGGCTGGGCTCCAGGACACGGACGGGACCTGCCGCCTGCCCAGCACAGGGGGCCCCAGAGCTGCCTCCCGGCGCCCACTTCCCGGGGCCGGACATACTGTAGGTCCAGGTGGGGTCCGGCTCTGGGCGTCTGCCCGCTGCAGGGAAGAAGTGGACAACCTGGGCCTGGACTGAGCGCATCCCCGGGGCCAGGCCTCGAGCGGGGCCGCCACTCCCCAAGCACCCCAGGAAGGAAGAGCATCGTGTCCGTGCCGGGAGCTCCGGGCCCCGCACCTTCTGGGCGGGAAGTGGGGCTGCCGGGGTCCCTGGACTCCCCCTCGCCTCCAGGAGTGGCTGCCCCCCGGGCACTGGGCACCAGGACGTGGGCACCGAGGGTAATAAAAATTGGGGCTTTAATAAATAGGCGTTCTAGGGCTGGTTCAGTTCTCCGGAGGCCCCCCAGGGCCCAGGCTGGCTGCAGGTGGCGGGGTCGAGGCCCCCCCAGGCCTGGGGCAGAATCTTTCACACACTTTGACGAGCTCAGACACGATGAACACAGACGAGGCCAAGCCGGTCAGCAGCAGCAGATCTGCACCAAGGATGAGAGAGGGTCAGCGTGGCCGGGGGCCCCCAGGGACCCAGCCGATCCCGGACGTCCACCCCAGACCTCGGGCTCATGGTCCCTCCTTGGCCCTGGGCCAGTGCCTGGGGCCTGGCCTGGTGACAGGGCAGCCAGCACCCGACAGTCTGCTCTTCGCCTGGGGCTGTCAGGGCCGGGGGTCCCGCTCACCCAGCACCCCCAGGTTCTCCGTCTGGAAGACCCTCTGCAGAGGCGGCACGTAGATGACGGCCAGCTGGCCCAGGACGGAACCCAGCACCGAGAACAGGAACATGCGGTTCCGCAGGCAGCCGAGCTCCACGATCAGCTGGGTCTGCGGGTCAGGGGTCAGGGGTCAGGGTCGGCCGCCCAGGCCTGGCGGGGAGAGCCCCCCGGGACCGCAGGGCCCACCTGAGAGCGGCAGGTCAGGGCGTTGAAGAGGTCGAAGAAGACGAAGCAGGTGAAGGTCATGGTCGTGGTGCGCGGGGTGCTGGACCTGTCCGCGGGGATCTGGGGACAAGGGGGGCGGGGGGGACGGTTCCGTCTCCATGCGGGCCCCGTCTGTGCGTGACCCCACCCCCCCGGCATGACCCTGTCTCTGTGATGACCCCGTCTCTGTGCGTGACCTTGTCTCTGTGCTGACCCCGTCTCTGTGGATGACCCCATCTCTTTGATGACCCCATCTCTGTGGTCAACCCTGTCTCTGTGCGTGACCCTGTCTCTGTGATGACCCGGTTTCTGTGCATGAACTTGTCTCTGTGTGTGACCCCGCCTCTGTGTGTGACCCCATCTCTTTGATAACCCCATCTCTGTGGTCAACCCTGTCTCTGTGTGTGACCCTTTCTCTGTGGATGAACTTGTCTCTGTGTGTGACCCCGTCTCTGCGATGACCCCATCTCTGTGGATGACCCCATCTGTGTGTGACCCCGTCTCTGGGTGTGACCCCGTCTCTGTGATGACCCCGTCTCTGGATGGCCCCGGCTCTGTGCATGGGGTCTCCTCCGTCCAGCGCAGCCCCAGGGGCGTTGGACCCTCACCTCCTTCCAGAAGATGAAGAGGGTCCCACTGAGGATGACGGCGGCCGACAGGAGCACCCGCAGCAGGAGTCCGCGACCCAGGATGGCGTCCTTGGCGCTGCGTGGCGGCTGCCGCAGCGTGTCCTTGTCCACGGGCTCCACGCCAAGGCTGCCGGACCGGGCGGACACCACTGGGACCCTGGCCCGCCCCGACTGCCTCCCCGCGGGGTGCCGGCCGTGCCGGGGCCCCCTGCTCCCGTCACCCCGAGGGCCACCCTCAGTGTGGGGCCGTGCCCGGGCAGCGGGGGCGCTGACCTCTGCGCGGGGGGGCCGTCCATGATGATGTTCACCCACAGGATCTGCATGGCATTGAGGGGGCTGGGCAGGTCGCACACGGTGGACAGCGTGACGAGGCTCAGGGCCGCGATGCTCCTGGGCAGACACGGCCGTCACCCCGCGTAAGAGGCGCGTCACCGTCGGGCGTGGAGGGGGTCCCGCCTCTACTTACGTGCTGAGCTGGAAACGCACAAAGTTCTTGATGTTATGGAAAATTCCTTTGCCCTCCTCCACGGCGTTCCTGCCAGAGAGAAAGGCCCTGGTCCCCGAGCGGCCGACAGCGAGGCTCAGCCTGTCCCCTCGGGGGGACGCCTGCCTGAGCCCACCCCCCGGCCCCCGTTCCCCCCGCTGCTCTCTGCAGACATGCGCCCCTCCCAGCCCTACGGAGGGCCTGATGGATGCACCCCGGGCCCAGAGTCCAGCGCCCTGATCTCTGCCACTAGGATGAGTCTGATGGGGCAGGGGTGGGGTGGGTGGGGAAGATCAATGGTCTTGTCAGAGCCTCTCTGCCAGCGTCTCAGGAAAGCTTGACCTTGGTGCTGCTTGTCAGAGGAAATGGTTTCGTCCCTCTTTTTTTTTTTTTTTTTTTTTGCTTTTTGGGTCACACCTGGCGATGCACAGGGGTTACTCCTGGCGGTGCAGTTACTCCTGGTGGTGCTCAGGGAACCAGATGGGATGCTGGGAATCGAACCCGGGTCGGCCGCGTGCAAGGCAAACGCCCTCCCCACTGTGCTATCGCTCCAGCCCCACGTCCCTGCTTTTAATGCAAACATTTTACCAAAAAGCGAATGAAAACTGCAGAGTTAGATATTAACTGGTGTTTTTTGGGGGCCCAGTTTTTTGGGGGGGCTGGAGCGATAGCACAGCGGGTAGGGCGTTCGCCTTACAAGCGGCCAACATGGCCGACCCGAGTTCGATTCCTCCGCCCCTCTCGGAGAGCCCGGCAAGCTACCGAGAGTATTCGATATGCCAGACACAGTAACAACAAAGTCTCCAATGGAGACGTTACTGGGCCCGCTCGAGCAAATCGACGATCAACGGGAGGGCCTTTACCTTACCTTTTTTGGGGGAAGGTATTTGGGCTCTTAGGGTGAATCCCTGTGGGAAAGTGAAAGCTCTTCCCATCACTGTCAGCCCGGAACCCTCCCCGTGGTTATAGGACCCGCGTGTCAGTGAGGCCCCCGGTGAAGACTCAGCCGGGAGGGAGGGTCCTTTGGCTGGATGGTGGGGACCACACCCAGTCACGCTCAGGGCTTCTTGCTGGCTCTGTGCTCAGGGACCACTCCTGGGGGCGCTCAGGGGACCCCACGTGGTGCTGGGGAGTGGACCCAGGCCAGTGCCTCACCCACTGTGCCATCTCATTGGACCCAAGGAAAGGCACTTTTTTTTTTCTTTTTGGGTCACACCCAGCAATGCACAGGGGTTACTCCTGGCTCTGCACTCAGGAATTACTCCTGGCGGTGCTCAGGGGACCATATG